GTGGGCTAGTGCGTCAGACTGCAAAGTCATTTGAACTACAAGGTTGGTGGTTCAAGCTCACCAGCTGCTCCTTGGAAACCCTATACAGGATCGCTATGGGTCGGAATCGACTCAACAGCACCTAACAATAACAACAATGTGGCACTGTGGGTTAATGCGCTGGACTGTGAGGTCAGTTTGAGCCACATGGTCTGCAGTTCAAGTTCACCAGCCACTCCTCAGAAACACTATACAGGGTTGCTATGGATTAGAACCAACTTGATGGCACTTAACAACAACAACATAGTAATCGTACATCTAATCTAATCTCAAAAATTGTGTAACATACTTTTAGGGAAATTCTGGGAAGCACTTGTGTGATGCGTTGGACTGCGAACTAGAAGGTCAGAGTTTTGAACCCACCAGCCACCCCACAGGAGCAAGATGAGGCTTTCTGCTTCTGCAGAGATTTACAGCCTCAGAAAACCTGTACACGTAACAACTACCACCATAACAAGAGGGAAAATCTGTTTACATTATCCAGACATTTCAGTGTAGGTGGCATTATGCTGTGAATTGGGTATGAAATGGCAAATAAAACAGACAAGGCTACTGTCTTCTTAGACTGTGCAGTCAATAGGGAGTTAAATGCTAAACAAGGAAATACAAAGAAAAATTGAACTGTGACATTATAAATTCACTCTGAAGGTAATAAAGTTCCTAAATCAATATACTCTTATTTTACACTGAGGTGGTTGGGTTGAGGGTGAGAAGGAAAGGTTTGAAGGTTGGAGTTAGTACAGACCAGGAGAAAGAATGTACTAGACTTAGGGAACAATATGTGTAAAATCCCTGAGGCATGATGGAGTTTGGCATCCTGTATTATATAATAAGGGAAAATAACAACTAATTTTAAATAAATAAACTGGGGGGGGGGACATATTTTAAAGATTATAGATGAGGACGCTGTCAGCTAGGCACTGGACCACTAACCACAAGGTTGGCAGTTCTAACCCAACAGCAGCTCCTTGGAAACTCTATACAGAATCGCTGTGAGTCAGAATTGACTCCACGGCACTTAACAACAGCAACAACATACAAGCACAAAAAATGGATTTTTACTGAGCTGGAACAGACTGGTATTGGTCCCTCTTAATCAGACAGCCATACATTCTACTATACCAAGAATGACAAAGGACAATAGTGTCATATTTATCATAAAAAAGCACATTTCAGGATGTTGTGGGGTTGTTGTTTTTTTTGTACTGTTTTCCGTCCTCAAAATACAGACTTTAAAAGTACCTCCTTTGTTATTTTTCGTAAGTCTTTCATCGTTTTTGGCTGTAGTTACCTAGCTAGCATTCATACAAACATGGGTAATCTTCTTACGGACCTTGCTGATCTGATCTTTCCACTTTAGTGCTCATTTCAAAGCTCTTTTTGTTGTCATCTTGACAAATTATTAGCAGCAATGAAGTTGTGAGCTAAGTACGACCACATTCAATAGTCTCCTGTGAACCCGGGTTGAAACCTGGTTGGCCAGCAGTATGGCAAGGCCCAGGGACTCCTGGGCTCAGAGACAGTGACATGGCCACAGAGGAGTAGATCAGAGAGTGAAGTGTCCAGCTGATAATGAAGTGAGGGGTGATGCACAAGAACACCCACACTTGCATATAGTACCCACTTGACCTGACTTCAGTGGCTGAAGGATCAGAACTCAACTAGAAAAAGAAAGAAGAGGAAAAAAAGAGCAATCTGCTACAATTGGATGAATTTGACCTATACTTATGGATGTAGTAGCTCAAAAGAGGGAATAAATCTTAACAGCGAGGATCATTCCCACCCCCTCGGTACACAGGGTTAACAGGGATGGGCAACTTAGACATTGGCTACCCAAAATGGGGGGGTGTGGGGTGGGGGAGATCCTACAAGGGCAAGAAGTGACTGGCTTATAAGCTTTCAAAAGGGAGCCTAGTTCCAGAAGGTATGGAAGATGGTAGAATCTCCACTGAGTGGTTTCCAATCTGTCTGGACGGGGCTGATGAAAGGAGATGGGGATAAGATTCTTGTGGTACAATAGTGAATAATTGTTATCAGGACTAACTGTGAGAGTTGCAAAGGTCAGGGGAGTGGTTGATTTTGCAGTTTAGGAGTGGAGGTCCCTGGGACCATCAAGGGAGAAGAGCAGAGTGTGGGACCCACCCAGAGAAGCAATGACACCAGAGATGGAGGCAGAGACAATGACATGGAGAGATGGAGCAGCTGGGGACTCTAGACTCAGGAAGGGAGAGGGGCTGTATGATGGCAGCCGAGGGAGCAGGCTTGCAGGGTGTACCCTTTGGTTGTTTGATGATGCATGGAGGGGATTGTAATTATTGCAATGAAATGAAATACAATAGGATGAATGTAAAGCTAATGTTATTCCATGTAAACTATCACATAATTCACAATAAAAACTTTAAAGAAAGGAACAGAGAACCAAAATGGATGTCAGAAAACTGAAACTTGCTCTTACACACAGAGTAGCAAAAATGAATGGAAGAAATGATAAAGACCAGAAAAGAAGATTTCAAAGAGCAGCTTAAGAAGATAAAGTCAAGTATGATAATGATGTGTGTGAAGACCTGGAGTTACAAACTAAAAGGAAAGAACATGCTCTGCATTTCTCAAGCTTAAAGAACTGAAAGAAAAAGTCAAGCCTCAAGTAGCAATATTAAAAGATTTTATGGGCAACCAATAGGCAACCCTTGTGGCTCTGTCCACCACTCGTGTGTTGTACTATGTTGGCTTGTGAGTTGCTGTGATTATGGAAGCTATGCCACCGGTATTTTAAATATCAGACAAAGACAGAATAGGAAGAAGGAGTGACAAACTACTTCTGAATATTTAGTCACTGAAGACCTTATGAATAGCAGAGAAACACTGTCACATATTGTGCCGGAAAATGAGCCCCTCAGGTTGGAAGGCACTCAAAATGTGACTGGGGAAGAGATGCCTCCTCAAAGTAGAGTTGACCATGATTAAGCGAATGGAGTAAAGCCCATGGGAGTAAAGTCCATGGGACCTTCATTTGCTGAATGGGGCACAACTCAAAATGAAGAGAAACAGCTGTAAACATCCATTAATAATCGGAACATGGAGTGTACGAAGTATAAATCTAGGAAAATTAGAAATTGTCAAAAATGAAATGGAACACATAAACCGATATCTTCTGAGAAGCTTGGTTATATAAGGAAAAACATGGCATCGAGATTGGAGGAAGACTCATTAACAACCCGAGATATGCAGATGATACAACCTTGCTTGCTGAAAGTAAAGAGGACTTAAAACATTTACTGATGAAGATCAAAGAGCACAGCCTTCAGTATGGATTACATCTCGATGTAAAGAAAACAAAAATTCTCACCACTGGACCAATAAACAACATTCTTATCAATGGAGAAAAGATTGAAGTTGTCAAGAACTTCATTCTTCTTGGATCAACTATCAACACTCACGGAAGCAGCAGTCAAGAAATCAAATGATGTATTGCATTAGGCAAATCTGTTGCACAAGACCTTTTAAAGTGTTGACGAGCAAAGATGTCAGCTTGAAGACTAAGGTGCACCTGACCGAAGCCCTGGTATTTTCAGTAACCTCATATGCATGCGAAAACTGAACAGTGAATAAGGAAGACCGTAGAAGAATTGATGCTTTTGAGTTATGGTGTTGGAAGAGAATATTGAAAGTGCCATGGGCTGCCAAAAGGACCAATAGATCTGTTTTGGAAGAAGTGCAGCCAGAGTGCCCCTTAGAGGCCAAGATGGCCAAACTTTGTCTCTCGTACTTCAGACATGTTGTCAGGAGGGACTAGTCGCTGGAGAAGCATATCATGTTTGGTAAGGTGGAGGGTCAGAGAGAAAGAGGAAGACCCCAGCGAAATGATTGGCAAAGTGGCAGCATCAGTGGGCTCAAACAGGGCAACAATTGTGAGGTTGGCCCAGGACCAGGCAGTGTTTTGTTCTATTGTGCTTAGGGTCTCTATGAGTCGGTACTGACTCAACACCTAGCAACAACAACAACAGTGGCTCTGTGGGTTAGGTGTTAGGCTGCTAACTGCAAGCAAGACTGGCAGTTCAAACTCAGGAGCTTCTCTGCTGGAGAAAGGTGAAGCTGTCTGCAGTCTCGGAAACCTACATAAGGTCTCTGTGAGTTAGAATCAGTTTGGGTATTGATTTGGTGTGGACAATACACACACAGGCACACAGGGTCTTTAAAAATTTTATGGAAAAAAATTCATCTTTTAATTCCATTTTTCCATGAACTTTTTGAAGCCCCCTTGTATATGCAGGAGAAAGATATGCTACTATCCGCCCATAAAGAGTCTGCAAACCCCTATGAGGCAATTCTGACTTGTTGGAATTGACACAGTGACATTGGATTTAGTTTGAGTTTATATATAGAAACTCTTCTAATGTTGTTAGTTGCCATCATTACCCCATTTACAATAGAACAAAACTTGTTTTTCATCCTGCATCATCCTTATGATTAATGGAACACTTGAGTTTATTGTTGTGACTTCTGTGTATTTCGAGTGTTTGAGTGCCTTTCATTCTGGAGAGGTAGAGGGTGGCTCATCTTCCAGCATTATCCTGGACAAGATTCTGTTGGAATCCATAGGACCTTCATTGGCTAATAAATATAACTAGATTGCCCATGCCTTTCTTCCTTGTCTGTGTGAGGCTCCGCTAAAAGCAACCTATCACAGGTTGGTATTTGAATGTTGGTATTTGAAATACCAGTGGCATAGCTTCCAGTAACTTAGCAACATACAAACCACGTAGTAAAAGAAACTGACAAATACATACCCTCACAGGTGTTAAATTAAAGCTCAATAAATTTTGCTTTTCAAAGTGTTACTGATCCATGGAAGCAAAGAAAACACTTTAATGTGCCTTTCTCTGATAAATGGATATTGTCTTGAAAAATTCCTCTCAAATTAATAACTAAGTACTAAATGGATATTTTTGTTTTGTTCCTAGGCATGGAAGAGGAGATGGTTTGTGTTACGCAGTGGCCGTTTAACTGGAGATCCAGATGTATTGGAATATTACAAAAATGATCATGCCAAGAAGCCTATTCGTATTATTGATTTAAATTTATGTCAGCAAGTCGATGCTGGATTGACATTTAACAAAAAAGAGTTTGAAAACAGCTACATTTTTGATATCAACACTATTGACCGGATTTTCTACCTAGTAGCAGACAGTGAGGAGGAGATGAATAAGTGGGTTCGTTGTATTTGTGACATCTGTGGGTTCAATCCTACAGAAGAAGGTAAATTTGATTTTCTCATTCACCCCAAGTAATCCTTTACTGCTAAATTTTTAGAACTGTCATAAAATGTTTTTGTTATTTCAGCTACATGATGTTGTTTTTTTCACGGCAGTAAATTTTGGAGAAAAGCACTGTGAACTCTTTTTAAAATCTGTTTGAAAATAAGCTTTTTTTGTAGATTTTAAGAACATTTATTGAGTTCCATTATCTAATTCCATGAATTGTTGAAGCCCCTGTCTATTAAGTTAAATACAGTAAAACCTGTAAAAACTGGAACACTCTGGGGCTGCCTTATTTTTCCAGGTCTCACAGGTTTTCCACCTTTGACAAAGTGCAGTATTACCACTTTACTGTCACCCTTGTTAATGGAAAGTATTTTACATTTGTCTTCTCTGACAAGTTTCTGTTGTACACAGGTTCTGGCTTTCACAGGTTTTATCCTACAGAGCACAGTGGCACTGGACTGTGAACCACAAGGTCTAAGATTTGAGCCTACCACTTCTCTGCTGGAAAAAAAATGAGAATTTGTTTTCCCACAAAGATTTACAATCTCAGAAACTTTATACAGGGTTGCTATGAATCTGAACCGACTTGATGACACTTAACAGCAACTATAATACAAGACTGCTGATATTAGTTGTCTCAGAGTTGATCTTGGTGTGGCGCTGTGGGTTAATGTGCCAGACTGCAAAGCCGTTTGAACTGCAAGGTTGGTGGTTCAAGCTCACCAGCTGCTCCTCGGAAACTCTACACAGGGCTGCTATGGGTTGGAACCAACTCGACGGCACTTCACAAGAACTTATGTGCAGAGTGGAACTGCTCCATGGTGCTTTCAAGGCTGTGACCCCCTGGGAGCAGAATGCAAAGCCTCTCTTCCATGGCACTTCTGGATAGGTTTGAACTGCCAACTACTTTAGGCTAGCTATTGTTAATAAATGCCATCAAGTCAGTTTGGACTCATAGCAACCCTGTATAGGGTTTCCGAGGCTTTAAATCTTGGCAGGAACTGAAAGCCTCATCTTTCTCCAGAGGAGCGGCTAGTGGGCTCAAATCTCAGACCTTGTGGTTCATGGTCATTGAATGGAGCCATTGCACTAATAGTTGAGCCTTTAATTTTTATGCCTTTCAGTCCACACACTCACGTTTGGAAGCTTGCATTTCTGAATATCGTCATTTAGGAGTGCTGTAGATTAAGTGAGGGGTGGAAAAATTGCATTAGCAATCAACATCAGGATTTCCAATGAAGTAAATAACGAATCTCTGTGTAGCTCAAGTCAGCATGCTGCTTCCTCTAGCTAGTTAACCTGGGGGTTTTAGCCTTCCAGGACTAGGGCTGGGATTGACACAGCGGGCTGGGGAACGGAGTCCAGAGTGCTCAGGGGAGCTGCCCTGGAAGAAGAAGGAAGGAGGGATGTCAGTGTATCCAGAAAGAGGCTAGAACTAGAGATATTCAAAAAGAACTCTTATGATTACAAGGCTTCAGTTACTTTTGTGAAGTTACTAAATGTATTTACATTCTAAGTTGGCATGAAGATATTACTTCAAATTCTATTTAAACTCCCTTTTTTTATTACCTTGCATATGTAGTTTATATTTTGAGTTCAGTGAAGGATTTTAAAGTTGAAGTCACAGATGAGAGCGTTCTTCTTTTAATAGTTATTTAACTAATCAGAAATTATAATTACTGGATTTAGACACCATATGAGTTTCATCATATGGTAGTTTTCAGTTAAAATAATGTAAGGCTTCTTTCTGCTTGCTGCTTTTTCAATTTAGAGTTTGCTTTGGGGGACGTAAAGGCAAACATCTGTCTCTATTGGTTGCTGATCTAAAAGCCTAAGTAGATGTCCCTCTATTTCTCTTTGTTCTTTTTCTCCTTCCCCAAAATGTTTTTTAACAAAGAAATTGAGATGGCTTATCAGAAGCTGGACATACTTTGTCTGGGAAAACGAGTAGTATCGGTGGTGTCAAATGAAGTCGGTTCCCATTCTAGCAACCCCGTATAGGGTTCTGAAGCTGTAAATCTTTACGGGAGCTCTCCCACGGAGTACCTGGTGGACTTGAACTGCTGACCTTGGGGTTAGCAACCCAATGCATAAGCCACTACCTATGGGTAGAGTTGAGAACGCCCAAAATACAAAATGTTAATATGATGATTTTATGGTTTAAGGTTTTTTTTTTTTCCCCTTTCCATAGGAAAGTACTTGTACAGTATAGAAAAAATGTTGTTTTTAAGTGCCGTCGAGTCAGTTCTGACCCATACCAACCCTGTATAAGGTTTCTGAGGAGTGGCTGGTGAGCTTGAACCACCAACTTTGCCAATCAAATTGACTTTGCAGTCCAGATCATTAACCCACAGTGCCACACGAGGACTCAATAGAGAAAAATAAAGTACTTAATATTGGGGGGGGAAAAAATTCTAATTTTGCCACCAGAGCAAGTTAATATCTATATATGTAATGGTTTTTAATGCAAATATCTTACAGTGTTTTGAAAATGTTGTAAAACTTTAACAGTATGAGGAATAAAATTTGATATACGTGATCTGTGTATAGGTTATCTAGAACAGCTGTATTAACCACATCATTTTTATTTATTCAAACAAGCCCATAAGAATGTTAATTTTCTTACTGCTTTCTAAATTTTATTTAAAAGGTATAATTAAATGCAACTACATTTTTTTTTTATTTGACAGTTTAAACTTTTTAAAAATACATTCTGACCATTCCCCCCCACCCCAAATAGCCACAGCTTAAAATGTCTTACTATACTAGTTGAAGATATGAGTTTCTTAGAGTAAATTAATGGAGGGTGAACAATCTTTCAAAAACATTTTATTGTACTCTATAAATTTGTTTTATGATGCATAATATCAAAACTGCCAAAAGACTTGTAAAGCCAATCATTATGCATGTATATGTAATAGGTGAGTTTGCTAGATGCCTTTAAAATTCACAGGTTTAAAGATTTTTTTTAAATTAAATTCTAAGTACCATAGACTTGCTAGTATCCTTTGTAATCATATTCATAAAGTTTGACAAGAAAAATACCCAAAATTTCCTCCTGCTTTGTATTCTCTTGCTTTCAAATAGATCTTACTGCCAATCACTACATAATGAGTATTTTTGTTTTTACCAAAATCTGTCCCCTGAGCCCTGTGTTCTTCCCATTTCAGAAAGCCGCATATGCTCCCAAACCTGCATTGAACTAATAACACGAGATTATTTTTCACTAGACAAGTTTTGGGCTAGAAGTGGGAAGAAATAAACCTTCCTTGGATATTACAGTCTGAGAAAATAACTATCCTAGTCCCTGTGAGAATAGCTAATTTTCTCTTGGAAACAAAAGGAAAGGGGAAAAATCTGACCTGTGTTTTGATTCCAGGAACCTCTCAAAATATCCTTACCATGTTATTTCCGCTGCTCCAGGTGACCATTGCTATTATTGCATACTCAGAATGCTGGCAGGCTATAACTGTTTTTGAATTCTAGTTCATTGAACTGTGTGTGGTTCCTATGAATGTTTTTATTTAGGAGACCTGAGGGTAAAGACTAATTTCTTTTGTTTTTCTTGGAAAGGTGCAGATTTATTTTTGTTTCTACAATAAAGTAGAAGCTTCTAAATCTGCTAAACAAGTGCTGGAAACACAGTCTAAGGACTGGAGCTGATAACTAACTTGGCGAAAAGACACTTGGTCTAGTTTCAGGATAAAAGATTAGAAAGTTGTTTCTAGTTGTTTTTCTCAAAATGCCCAGATATTAATGTTTGTTTGTTAAGTACTGTTCTCTATTATATATTCTTCCTTTTATTTAGCAAAGTGAATAGACTAACCAGTTTTATGAATCTCAGTAAAGCCATTTTAATTTTGAATGAAAAAAAATAACATAGTCTGAACATTCTTTACTTATTCTAAAACTTTTTAAAATCATGTAGTCATTATTTCTTTTATCACATTAAGCCCTGTTGTCCTCCAACTACTTAAACATTTTTGTGAGAAATTGTCCATTTACTAGTAAAATTCTGACCCTTCAAGGATGGGTAATTTGACCCATAGGTTGGCCTACTTCGAATGTTTGTCTTGGGAGCAAGTTAAGGAAAGTTGGGTCCAGACAAGAAAAACTAGAGAGCCTCATCTCCATCGGGCAGGCAGTTAAGTTGACAAATAGAAGACTTCTTCTTGGGTCTTTCCCAAAATGTTTGCACTGGGAAATCAGTACAGGTAGCTGGAACTTTGTCCCTCTGGATACTGTTAGATGCTGAAGAGTCAGTTCCAACTCATAGTAATCCTCATTTACAACAGAAGGAAATACTGATGTCATTCTCATAATTGTTGCTATGTTTGAGCTCATTGTTGCAGCCACTGGGCTCCTTCTCTTTGAGAGTCATCTGGGTATTAACCTACATTATAAAGCCCAGATCTCCTGATTGTACATGTTTTTGAATACACCACTAAGAACCATCAATTCATATGAAATAAATGCAGTGAAGATTGGGAAGTTGGGAATGTATCTCAATTATGTGTCTGGCGAAGTTATAAGCTGAGTTTTTAAAAAATTGAATTGTGCACTAAAGACACAGTGAAATCTAACAATATAAAGAAACTTGGTCATATTCTTATCAGTTCTATAAATCTGTTTTTCCGTTGCTGAATTTGCTTAGAACTAAGCAGAACAACTGTAACGTCAAGAACTTTAGTGATTAGGATTTAAATACACCCACAATCCCAAGGAAACCCACTGCCATTGAGCTAATCCCTACTCATAGCAACCCAATAAAACAAAGTAGAACTGCTCTTTAGGGTTTCTGAGACTGTAAATCTTTACAGAAGCAGACAGTCTCATCTTTCTCCTTCGTTGGACAGCTGATGGGTTTGAATCTTGACTTTGTAGTTAGCAGACAAGCACTTTAAGTACAGCACCATCGGGGCTCCTTAAATACACCTTACTACAGATAAAATACACCCTAATGGTGTGGCGCTGTGGGTTAATGTGCTGGACTGC